TCCTTGATCCAGCACGTTCTCCCACGTGCGTCCTGATAGCTGAGTCGCCTGTGCTATGCATTAGGACTTTGCTCGACCGAGCGAGTTCTCCCGCTTGCTATGATAGCTGAGTCGATTGAGCCATATTAGAGGATTTCGCTCGACCCAGTGTGTTCTCCCGCGCTTGTCAAGCTAACTGATGAGTCGTTCGTGCTATGAATCAAGGTTCTGCTCGACACATCGCGTTCTCCTATGGTTGCCATGATAGCTGAGTCGCCTGTGCTATATGGCCAGCTGAATCGCTTGTGACATATATTAGCGGACTCTGCTCGACCAGCGTATTCTCCCGCATTTGTCAGGATAGCTGCTTCCCTTGTACTATGACTGAAGATTCTGTTTGACTCAGAGTGTTCTCCCGTGATCGTCATGAAAGCTGAGGCGCCCGTCTATACATTGGGACTTTGCTCGATCCAGAGAGTTCTCCTGCGTTTGTGATGATATCTGAGTCGCTTGTGCATTTTAGAAGATTCTGCTCGATCCGACGCATTCTCTCGCGTTTGTCAAGATAGCTGAGTCCCTTGTGCTATGATTGAAGATTCTGCTTGACCCAGCGCATTCTCCCGCGTCTGTCATGATAGCTGAGTCACCGAGTCACCTGTCCTACGTGTTAGGGCCCTGCTTTCTCATGATAACTGCGTCACGTGTGCCATATTTGCGCAGCGTGCTACGTTACAAACCCGCTTACCCCCAATGAACGCTGGACGGTAACGCCTTCCATGTTTTTTTCTCCCCAATGATTTGCATCAAAAACAATGACCGGTTTAGACTTCCACGGTTCACAGTAGCTTCTGGCAGCTAAGGCTCTCCTGCAATTCGCAGACGAGACAGCTGAGCTTGCAGATGATGCTGCAGCCAGCTCTTTGTGACACTTCCGTCGTTTGAGGTTTCAATAAGGTGGGTTGGGGTTACGCCGCCCAACAGCCTCGTCCCTACAGAAGATTGAGGTTGGCAATCCCCTCCTATCTTCTCCTGTTACATCCGGTTTGCATGCCAGCATCCGCAGAAGCATGCCCTTTCGCCGGCTTGCACTGCACTCAGTACTTCTCGAACGATCAGAGTAGAAGCTTAAGTTGGAGTTGGATTCATCTGATCTCCGGAGAACTCACTGTTATTCACTGTTCAAGGATCCACGTGTGGAACAGTACCCGCAGTACCCTCATCATGCTGTCTCGAGGTCTTTCAAGGTGCTGCTTCGGCCTTCAGTCATACTACGCTGCCGAATCTGGAGGGCAAGCTTCCAAAAGGAGCTGGAGTTCCTACGAGAGCAACCACCTCTGTACAGTTGCGCTAGCCAAGAAGTTGCCACCACAAGTGGCCCGGAATCTCCCACGGAATCACATGTTACGATCAGGGCTCAACCCAGCACTCCAACTGTTTCTCAACAGTCTACAACATTCGGCGACTGTATGTCAGCCGCAAAAATCACAGAGCTCACTGCAGGTTAAAGCCCATGCTGGCCCCTGGCCATTGCTTGCGCAAAACTGATGCGGGTGCATGCCGTGAGATCAAGAGAAACACAGGGCGTCCAGCTATGCTCACTCTAGACACGTCTAGGACCTAAGGAATCTAAGGACATTAGGCGGAGTCAGACTAACAGGTAAGTTCCAATGCCGCAATGTGTGGTCAATACAAGATTTGGACCAAACGTGCTTCCCGCCAGGACTAACGCGTCAAGCGGTGTCCACAGCATTCCACAGTGTCGGGGCCGCGCCTTAGATCATACTAAACTGAACACACAGCACTTCATTTTGCATTCCTGTTATTATGTCAAGCAAACTATTCCATGTATTCACAGTCAAGCCACTGTCATGCACAGCAGGGCTGCGTTCGTTGATGCCTCCTTCGACCATCTGGCAGATCCCCGCCCGTCCGGCAGCCGCAAGTCATAAGCTGATTACGATGGTAAGCGCCAGCGTAAGGATCAGCTGCTTCTGTCTGAGAAAAATGGCTTGCTTATGCTAACTCGACTTGGCATTCCGCAGTTGACATCTATGACATCTATAATTTGTCAGCTGCATAGCTGCTGGCGTCTGCCATTCCGACATCCTCAAAAACATTCTTTCCGACGTCACGAATGAATCCAGCAGCAGCACAGGACAACCGTCTCGTGTGGCTGCTTTGCAGAACGTCCTACTTCCTACCTCACTGCGCTCTGGACTGCGAGACATTGTGTCCTGTGCTGCATCGGCTCGTGCGATGTAGTCTCTGCGCAGAACACCAAGTTGGCTTAGTCTTGGTCACTTTCACTAGGTGTGTCGAAAGCCTCACTGTCACGCACATCGACATGGCAGTCGCTTATGGATTGGGCAAGCGTGCCTTTCTTCAACTCCCAGATCGTAGCCTGTCTACATGTGTTCAGGACCTGATACTCCGTGTTTGTCCAATCCAAGCTGCGACTGATGACGGCAACAGCAAACAAGTTCTCTCGCCGGCGATGGCGACACGAAGAAAAAAGCCCCTGGTCTGAGATCAGCTGAAGATGAACGTAACATGTAACATTGTCAGACGTTGTCAGTCTAGCGAAAAATTCCGAAGCTGATCTTCACACCAGAGTCTGGAACACGATGTGGATTGTCCTGGGTAACACCATGGGCAGACCAGGACTCACACAACCTAATTGCTGCTGTCGCTGTTGTCCGATCGCACTGAGCCGCTGGTCAGAGCTAAAAAAAAATTGTTCAAATACTCAGCCTGTCGCTTTCATCGGGATGCAGAGTTAGAGGAACCCCAGGGTCGGCGTTCCCCGGCAGACACGATATTCCGATATTCATCGATTTTCGACTTACTGACACATTGTCACAGTCTCTACCACTGCCACACAGGCGAACGATGAGAGAAGACGGATGACGCTTGCCGTGATGCCCCTGTCATCTCTGCAATCCTGAAATCCGAGTCCCACGAGAGGCAGGAACAGCCACTCGGTGAAGACTTGTGAAACGAAAAGGAGAAAACCATCGTTGCCCAGTGAGGCTCTGTGGCCTCCAACGCCATCAGCCTCCAGGGGTGAAAGATTGCCAATTTGAATTTGCTGAGATGTGAGATGTGCCGAGCTAAGAAAGAAAAAACATGGTGCAACCGGCATGAGCAGGTTGTCTGTTGCCTCTTACGCGACGTGCTGATGTGAGAAGGCTGCCTCTCGGGCTAGTCCTTTAGCGGATACTGCGGATGCTGCCTGGGCGACTCGTCAGTCGTCGTAATGCGTAGGCATGGCCTCTCATGACTGGGGGTGCTAAGAGGGTGCCATGTGGTCGTACGACTCCTTTCATTCCAGCTCTACTTCCATAGCCTTCCGCAACAAGTCCTCAAGCTCCTTCCCGGATGGTGAGTAGGTATCCCACATGACCTGGCAGTCAAGAACGCGGCAGAATGCGTCTTCAAAGCTGCACGAGTATGATGCAGAAAGGCCTGTGTGGGCTGTGGCATTGCCTGCATTGTCGGCATCAACATGAAGTGCCCGGACATTGCAGGGACCTGCACGCAAAGAAATGAATTTGGGCAACCTTGATTCATCAACAGTGAACAGCTCAGACTCGAAGAGCAGCGAGGATGCGCGAGGATGAGCCGTAGCTGCACAGCGTCCGGTTCTGTCAAAACTTCTGGGAGCGGCGCCAGGCCACCTTCCATCACGCAACCGTGCGGGGCATCAGACCTTTGCATACCTTGGATCGATCCGATGATCCGGATCAGGGAGCAGCTCGAAATGCACAGCTTGCAATAGTCAACCTGGTGGATTCATATGTGCCTGATTCGATCGTTGTCTGCTTCAACCTGGAAATCCACCGGAGTTGCAACAAACTGCAGTGCCAAGCTAGCAGCCAGCCGTGTTTGTCATGGCAAGCACGTCGAATCGAGTCCTTCGGTGCAGCACTGCAGAAATTGTGCTGCGGCTGATCTCCAGCTTTCACAAACTGCGACTGAATTGTCGTGAGTCACGAGCGCCAAGGGAAGCAAAGAGGATCAGTAGAGAACCCAAGAACCCTGTTCTGAGACTCTTCTGCCTCATGGGCACACAGCTTCCATCAGCTATCGGCTGAGAGACACCTCGCCGAGCGTTCCGAGCATCACCCTGTGTCTTACCGTGTCCCATGCACGCAACATCTCCAGGTCACAGAACGAACCACAACATACTAGCACCACAACGGTGCCACAGTGGCCCAACACAGCTGCCACACGAAGTGTTCGCGAGCTCGGCCTCCTCGCCAGCTCTTGTCGAAGTCTTGTCCACTTGTAAGGCACTGGGCGGCACAATGCAAACACGTTGGGTTCATGCCGGCGCTGAACGTTTTGGAGGACGCCAAGAGACATCTGGGGCTTGTACCGTTGGCGCGCCAACTGCTGGTGCCTGGGCCATCGGCTGCGGGCAGCTTGTCACAAGTGACAAGCCTGCGAATCCAAAACGAGGTCCTCTGCCACAAGGCCAAGGGGGTCCCAAAGAAGCTGCTGCCTGTCATGGGGTGCTCCGGTGGCCAAAGCTTTGGAAACCGGAAGACATGGAAGACGTGCACCCGGCTCTCTTTGAGCTTCTGCGAAACACAGCGACGCGACTGCGAGTAACTTGAAGCAACCTCACCCCGGGTCCGCTGCTTTGATGGGCAAAGCTTAGCTTACAATCTTGGAAGCTTCGCTTCCTAAGAAATGCAAGACATGGCAAGACCGCTTGCAGAGCCAAAGCACCTCGCCTCCAAGAACAGAGCAGATCAACAAATCACCCTGCCGATAACAACCATCATGAAACACAATATTGCAGGCTCTGCGGCTGGCACGTTAAACAATCCATTTGCAAGCCCCTAGCACTGAATTAATGAAGCTGCACGGACGCGCTTTGTTGGCTTTGCTGTTGATCAACAAACGGCTCGCTTTCTGCTTTGCTGTTGCTTGAACAGAAAATCCGCGCGCAGCTTCTCTGGGCGGCAGCCAACGTGAATTTAGTTGAACTTAGAGCAGCATGTACAGAAACTAGATCAGGACATCATGTGTGGCTTCGTCAGACTGACACTCTTGTTGTGGATAAATGAAGCTCCGTACTCCAGATACCTGAAGCTGAAAACTTGCAATGCTAGCATCTCTCCTCTCCATTGTGTGCCGGGATGCTTCCACAAACTAGGGTCACTGCTCCCCCCTTGTCATAAATGTTTTCTGGAGGTCAGACATGGACGCCAGTATAGAGCCACCCATGAAAGCTGCGTACCTTCAGCACAAATATCAAGACTCGGAACTTGGAATCTTGGAACACAGAGGACTCTCAGAGGACTTCTGAAGGCATCTGAAGCAGAGGCCGCCAAGCTACGTGGGTTTGGACACACGTGTGACTTTGGCTTTCACGGCGGATGGGAGCAGCCGCTGCAGCTCCTCTTTTCGTGAATCTCAAAAAATCTGACGTCTGATTCAGTCTCGTTGGCAGTTTTCACTTGCAGTCGTTGGCAGGAGCTGTCCTCCTGAACACGCTGACACATCCCCGGGAAAAGGGTCGAACCGCCAGAGAGAACCTCAAGAAGCAATCGTCACAACAGGCAGAGTTCTTGATCATACAGTAGGATATGCTGGGACGTTCTGAAATTCTGATCGCTCGAGTACGATGCACGGACGGTCTGTCCAACTTGACCGGTGAAGCTCTGAAAACTCATACTGCCGAAACTAAACTGTCATCATCACCACGGCTACGAGCATTAGGAGTGGATGTGAAACGCAACCGGCACTACATTACCAAGGTCCGCGCGACATTGTTTGCCAAGCTTTTCTGGATATCGAGACCTGGACTCGAAACATCCACCAAGCCCGAGCCCACACTTTCGGTGCTGCCAAAAATTGAACTTCCTGAGCCTTCCGGCCACATCCCAAAACACTGCTCGCGGCCATTTTGTGGATGCCCTCAGCCTCCTCTGAATTCTGCAGAGACAGTTTGCATGCACCATGAGCATGTGCAGCTCCTCATCCAGCTTCAAATGCTGACCAGGTTGGAAAAGGGCCTGAACCGGAAACAGCGGGATTGCTTGGCCGTTTTGTTGTGCCTGCTACACACATTCATAGCTGCTGAACGAGCAAGGAAGTGTGCCGCCTCAGCACATTGAGAAAGAAGGCCTTGCTCCCAGTCCAGAACCTACGACAGAAGAACCTTCTCTCTGAAGTTTCAACTTCACCAACTTCAGAGCATGAACCCACAGGTGGCAAAGTGGCAAAAGCAAAAAAACGGTTCTTACCACTGTTGAGTTTTTGCTCTGGGGTGTGCCCGAATCATGACATGTCTCTCGGCCTGCCGGAGTCTAAAGCCTAAAGGTCACAAGTCTAAACTTTACTAAACATTAATCCGAAATTTCACCGAGCTCGACCTTCCCGTCGGGCAACTTGTACTCTTGCTGCACAGGATCCTGTACAGGCTTCGAGACAGAGGAATAGTTTCCGAGGCTGATTGCTGTGCCTGGCGGGAGATGCGGGAGGGTGACGCTTGTGGGGTCACTCGGCACATCCGCTCCTGCCAGTTGAAAATTCGTCCGAGTGCATCTGCATCCTCCCCGCGTCACTCCTTGACAGTCTGGAGCTGAGTCCACCATACCTGCAATTGCGATGCTGGGTATGCTGGGTATGCGGGACATGCGGGATATGCTGTGCATTGCCATGCGAAGAGAGAACACTCGTCTACTGAAAAAATGAGCTTGATCAGGCTGCCGCACCTCGTCAGCAAGCGCCTCCTTATATCCAAGCTCTTTTTGAAGAAGCTCGCCCAGATAGGCCTTGGAGTCGTGAGCCCGTCACGTTGTTGCGGCAAGTGCATCGCGCGTTCACTGAAGTTATTTGAGCTGCAGGCTGTCAGGTCGCGCCCGCCGAAGTCTCGCCGCTGCACGGCATTGAACACAACATAGCTGTCGAACAGCGGAACCTGGAGCACAATGTTGTAGCTGCAATCATTTATGTTTAAAGCAAGCACCTTCGATTCATACTGCGAAGGAGAAGCCGTCTGAGCTACACCGTCTCCGACCTCAATCACCAGCCCAGTGCCTGAGCAGCTGAGACGTTGCCAAGTGACGAGGACATAGTCTGATGGAAACAGCGGTGCATACCAACATCAAATGGATTGCACATCTACCCGACTACTTGAGTAAGCAATGCGAGAAAACTTGCATGACAACAGGTAGATGCAGGCAGCGTGGCCGCTGTCGTTTTGGGAGAATTCCCTTGTCATTGTGCCGTGTCAGCGCGGAAAAAACTCTGCACGCCCCTTCATGGCGCGGACCCAGTTGGGCTTGGGCCGCTCTCCATGATTGTTATTTCCCCCTTCCTTCTGACTGAGCAGTCTCACTCTCTCTTCTGTCCGGCCCCATTCAAGGAAAGAACTTGGATTAGGTACCCCCACCCCCCTTAACGTCTTTTTGAGGGATACCACATCCCAACATTGCTCGGCCCTCGGCAGTTGTAAAGTAACAAGACGAATAGAAACATTGCTTCAAAAGCGAAGACACGGAACATGACAGAACAATATCAGTCCCAGGTCAACACGTGTCAACACAAAACTTGGATCCAAACGCCTGTTGATGGCGTAAAGCGCAAGTGCCCCTGAGTGCACCACCTCGCAGCGGGAGCACCGGCGACATGCTTCTTCTGATTGGGACTGAAAATGAGCTCTTGATGTGCAGCTGTTGCACAAAAACTAAGTGTATACTAAGTGTGGCATCCCAATCTATGTACGAAGTGTGTCCATGCCTGCACTGCTGGTACTCGCAGCTCTTCAAAAAGCTTCTCCACCTCGACTGCGTGGAGCAGACTGCCGTTCCTAGACACAACAGAATCCCACCTCTAGTACTGGGGCAGATGCCAGTAATTCTCGATGCACCGTTGGATTTAACGGTGCCTGAGCTCACCCGTGCATGCAAGATAGTGCAAGAAAATCCAAGCCCAGACAGACAGCTGCCTGTCGCACAACATTTGGAAAGCACGCTTGACGGCCTCTGTGACCAGGCACGGATGCTGAGATGGGTCGACAACCTGAGCCCCAAAAAGGAGAGGTGCCAACAAAACAGCAAAATGCCAGCGTTGAAGCAATGCGTGAAGAAATTTTGAACACTAGCCAGCCAGCCGAGCCTTCATCTCATCAAGGGCGGCCTTGAACACTTCCACGAGACCCTCCCACCTTAGGTGGATCTCGTGATTTACAGTCGGACATAATTTAACAAGAGAACATCATAGCACATCTGCAAACAGGCGCAGCAGCCTGGAGCTTTTCAAGAAAGTGCTCCGTCACGTCTAGACTATGCCTAGATGATCTCCCCCATTTAAGAATGACATGTTGACATGCCAAAGCAGGAAGGAATTTCTTGTATTAAGCTTTGGCTTACGGCTCTGAGGCCACAGCTGAGACACAATGCCGTGGTCCATAACATGCAGCCTGCTTCGTGGTGCACGCACCAGCATGCATACGGCTGCCGGAAGAGAAAAAGCAACAAAAGAAGCAGCAGCAGCAGCAGAGATGGCACAAAGCAGTCGACTTGTCAGAAAGTCTATTCTGCTAAAGCCTGCAAGCTCAACAGCACCTGGAATTAGCTTGGTCTGCCGACGTCTTCCAGGCCTGGCATTGCTCTTCTCGAGTGCCTCTGATGTTGCCTGGATCAGGCATAGCAGGCGGACCCGATGCTCCAGCCACCCTTCCCATCAGCCATTCGATGAGCCACCTGCCTTCGATGGCTCGTGGCGAGAAGACCGCACTGCTGTGTACATGTTGTCATAGACGACCTGCAACGCAAGAATGTAGCAAGATGTAGCAAGCATCCTTGCAGAATGCCACTACCCTGGAACTGCCTGGGGTTCCTGTTGTCCTGCATAGCCAACCTGACAAAATATGCGGTTAGTCTGTATTGTTCTTACTGCCGTGCCCAGAGAACCGAGAGAACCGAATGCATTGTCATGCCTTGACCGACCCGGAGCCGTTGTCCAGGACAAGCGGCGTCCCAGCCATGCAGGGAGGCCAGGCTGATGCGCAGTTGGGGAAGTCACGGGAGTGTCTAAAGAGTCTAAAGAGTCTAGGGTAGAAATGGCTGGCGGGAGTAGGTGTCGTTGGGTCTGTATGGTCTGCATTTCTCTGCAGCTCCAACCATGATCTTGTGGTGTTGTTGCCAAGTTCCTGGAAGTCATAGCTGCACCAGTAGGTGCCAAAGCTCAACGAGCTGGGCCAGAGACGTGCACACAGCCAATTGCCGCAACATCCTCACGAGGCAACCATGCCAGTCTGTCCGTGCAGGACTTACAGGCTCTTCATCGAAGCTTGAAGAGGACTGCCTTCCGCCGAAATGCACTTCATGAATGTCGGAATAATTGACATTGCACTTCCGACCACTAGAGCTGAGCAGCAGCTGTCGGGGAGGTGGGTGGGGCAAGTATACGGCCTGTCAATGTCGAAGTATCCAGATCCACTCCGATACCCGTCCGATGTCGAAGCATATGCATCGCTCCCTCACAGGCCATCACAAGTCTCAGGCCGTCGCACCCGGATTGCAGCCTGTGCCTGAACCCTCGAAGCTGTCCTTCCGCAAGATCCCAGCCTCCGTGCCAAGTCCAAGAGCTCAAAACAGATCAGATGGGGCACACACGAGCCATCGCAGAAGCATGCGCTCATCTCGGAATCTTTATCTGGGCCTGTCCAGACCTCCGTCCAAAGGGAGGCGTCTTCCGTAGTTCTTCCTCCACAGGTACTGCAGCACTGCCTACGGACACTACGCACCATAATGCACATTACTGACATGCAGGCGACATTGGCGTAGGCAAGGCCAGCATGCATTCCACCGTAAGGCGGCTGCTTTGCCATGGGCGAAGGGGCACTGTTCTGAGGCGTAGGTGCAGCATCCCTGCTTCCAATTCCTGAGCCGTCCGTCAACAGGGAGTCCCAAATGGCTCAGAGCGCTTCCTGCGAGCACGCATTAGTCGCATGAGGCCAGCGCTTGCAAATCGAAGTCTTGCGAAGATCTGGCAGCTCCTCAAAGTTTGGCGCATCCAGATACTGCAATGGTACCACCCGATGATCACAACATTTTCGTCTTCTAAGCTTGTTGAAATTTGATGCTATTTGCGTGCCGTCAGGTGCGGGTCCGTGCGGGTTTGTGTAACTTTAGGCGGCTTTGGCTCCTCGAGCTCTGATGGGTCATGGGCAAAGGGACACTGATCTCCGTAGCGGCATCGTCCTGCAGACGGCGACAAGACGAGCTGACTTTTCTGCACAAACTACAGACACGGCTACCGTGGGATCTGACATAGCGGACCGGTTTCGTGGAAACGGCACATCTTGGTTTTGCGGAATTGGCCGACCTTGGGACAAACATCGAGACAACAATGATCCACAAGCGACGCGAGCACTCATGGCTCGCAGAGGCAAAGTTAAGTGCTGACTGCGGTTGCCCGCAGCACGAGGAGCTGACGAACAGGGTCTGTTTCTCCTTCGGCAGCGGGGCCTGCAGATGAAAACTGCTGTCTTCCATATACTTCTACAGTACGAGCAGCATGCGCAAATATGGCAGCACTAGCTCGCACCGATTCCAGCCTCAGCACTGCTCTTCTGCATACGGCTCATCTGACCTACGAGTGTAGCAATCAAAGCGTTTGACGCAACAGTGCTGCCCGGCAAGCCGAATCCGGATTGATTTTGTCAGCGTGCTCGAACATGTTTGCACTACACTAGTCACTACATCAGAGTAGGCTTCCAACCCATGATGTCAGTCTCCAGCACAAGTGCAATAGCGCCGCCCGCCGAATTGCTCTGAATGAGCCACGCTGCCGGCAGAGACCGTGGGCTTCGAAATTGTAGCTTCCTCCTGCTCGGTCCGAACGAAGCTTCCCGTTGCAGCAACTCTTTACCCGGCAGCATCCAGTGTCTTCGACAGCTGGATAAGCGCTGTCAGTTGGGCACTGTCGTGAAACTTGCAGACGGTGGTTGAGAAGAGGGATTTTCCATGCAACATCATGCAACGAGCGATCATGGTTCGCACAGGTCCAAGACGTCCTAGACTTAAACCGAATCTAAGCACAACAACACACCGATGACACCGCTGCCCGTGAAAAAAAATCGTGCCAGCGTGGGCTGGACAGATCTGTACAATTTTGGCTGGACAATGCCTCCATGTACTCAACGGGCCTTCAGCCGTGAAGTATGACTGCCAAGAGCTATAGCCACAACAACGCTGTCACTTGTGCAGAAGGCTGGTTGTTCTCACCGAACAGAAGCCCTCAAATGTGGCTTTCCAGACGATGCCTGCACTCCCAAGCTTCAATGTTCATCCGACATACCCGACTTTATAATGGCACGACACCACGGTGGGGATGCGGCCTTTGCGCCCAAGTCGCTGGAAGACTTCACGATGCTAGGTCTGGCAGGCGCGCCGCCCACCGTCCTTCACGCACTGGTGCACGCACACAATCAGTGGCTTGCCTGCATTGACGTCATATGCAGCCAAAACAACGAATAGTCTTCACTTGCACGAAACAAAACGTGCTCTTCGCTGCAATGACTGCAATTACATGAACTATCTTGTATGAGTAGTAGCAGTGTTTTGAGAACCCATTGGGCCGCCAAAGCCCATCATGTCGAACATTGGGCTCAACCTTCTTTAATTTTTGGGGGGGGTTCATAGATGGGGGGTCTCCCCCGAGCATACATCAGCTAAAGTACGGAGCCCGACAAAAGACCGGGGCAAACCCATGTCAGGGGTTTCGAGTTTAGGATTTGCCGTTTATGGTGGGTTCTTTGGTGTGTAAAACTCATCTGCAATCCGGTAGGTCCACAAATATTTCAGAAATGATCTCATCTAGCGCGGAGGATTTTCCAATTCTGTGTTTTTGAGAAATGTAGCTCTAGATTGATGAAACTCAGCAGCCATCCTTTCTTTGTAGATTCGCTTCTCAAGCAGGCCTCGCTGTACAGTATTGCAGAACTGCAGCAGCCTGGGTCACTTCGTTTTTCAGGCTTCGGGTCATAGGGTTTGTGGTTTAGGGTCTCGGAATATCCTGACTGCCGCTTGAGAAGTGCATATTGGTCTGCCGACTTTCTACCACCATCAAGTAGAACTGACTTTGCAATCAAATGTGTCCTGCGCCAGCGAACAGTTCCACGAGGGGCATCGGTATCTGCCTCCGACTCCTGGATGGCACGGATGGCTCAATATGGCTCAATAACATTCAGCACGTTCTCTTGGCCATTGGCCGTGAGGTTTGCAATGGTTTGCCATTGCACATGGGAGTTCGAGGGCTGACCAAGTGTGACACGTGAAATGCGAAACTAAAGCACTCGGCACATTGAACGGAGCAATGCAGCAAACGGACCAACCTTCGGCAGCTTCCGCCAAACAGCTTCCTGAGGCATGAGTAGGTTAGCTACTGGTTACTTGGCTCAAGCCACAATGGCTGACAAATCTCCCACGGAACCACCATAATGACACTGCCGCATGATTTTTGACGCCTTGAATTCTGCTGGATTCTTCAACGTCTCATCTGTCAGCAAGTAGAGGTTCGGATTCCAGCGTGATCGGCGAGGGAAAGACTGACGCCTCGGCTGAGCATTCTCCGAATGCCTCCAAAACCGTTCTACATCCATTCCGAGGTAAGGCCACGACAAGTCCTCATAGCTAAATCGAGTCTGCAAAGTATTCTGCAAGTCCTGCGCGTGCTGTGGGCACATGCGCATCACCATGGCTGCACAAATCTCTCTCACGTCGCAATCTGCTACGTCATGCGATGTCACATACTATGTGTGGCCTCCAAGGCGGCAAACCGAGCATGCTGCTGCAGCGCACGCTCTGCCGCAGCTTCGGCTTTGTGCCGCGTGGCTGCTGATGCCTCGTGGCTGCAAATCGATCCACGCTCATTTACGATGACATGTTTGGTTTCTGACTTTGGCGGGCGGAGGGTTGCGACTTTACCTGTGAGAAACGCTCTTTCTCTGCCTGCTGACCACGCGGGATGATTTCGATCAGATGAGTCTCCTCCTCCTCTTGGGTAAGACAGTAAGGGTGGCATCTTCGTGAGGCGACTCATTATCTCAATTTCAGTCCTCTCGTGGTGGTAGAGCTCCCCCACGAAGCACGAGTTGTCCCTGATGGCTCTTCTCGAACTTCTGAGTTTCTGTTCGCAGGGGCTTCATGGACGTCCCTCCTTGCCTCTGCGGTGGAAAGCCTGTCCGAAAGGTTGCCGATCCTCGCTCCGCAGGATTTCAGAACCGGCGAGAGCTCCCGTGGAGTCATGGCTTCGCAAACATCAGAATCGCCTGTCAGGGACATATGATCTGCGGTTCCGGGTCTTTTGCTACCGTAGCTTGCCGTAGATTACCGTAGGTTGAGGGTTTGGGGTTACTTGGGCAGGCTCATCATCGACAACAACCCAATCCTGCCATCGAGCACCCGAGCCTTGTGCACAAAGCTGCAGCTTTTCTTTCAAGGATGCTGCAAGCGGACTCGCGGCTTGCAGCTCCTACGAACGTGAAGTGGATACATATTTTGGCCATGTGCAGAGTACTGCTCAAGCCGTATATAAGTTGCTTAAGCTGCCAAGGATGTCATGAGCATGGCATGAAATGGTGTCTCCTGTTGCTTCTTGAGAGTGCTCGGCGCGAAGGAGCCGAACTTGCTGGCTTTGGGGGCAGGGGTGCCCAAGGTCACCCGAAGCTCCCTGTGAAGCTTGGACGAGGAGAGCAGCACCTGCGAAGAAGCCGTTCAAACTTTGGGTTTTTTTTTTAAGCGGCCGCAAAAAACCAGGACCCCAAAAAACAGGCAAAAATGACAAACTACTGGGGGCCTGTTTGAGGAGCTTCGTCCGCTCGGAGTCATTGCTGCTGGCGCGGGCCAGCAACTCAATCCCATCCATGCCATCCACAGAAGTTACAGCCGTTACAGTGTTCTTTCGCTTCTCCGGTTGCAAACCAAGGTTTGCTAATGCTTTGGTCATAGTGTGATTGTTGCATGTTCTCTTGGCTCTTGCAACCTGAAACTTGACCTCGGCATATCCATCGGGCAAGAATCCCCCGTGCTCGCATCAGCGGACATCCCGGTCGTGTGAGTCTACTGTCAAGAATGCGGCCAGAATGCAGCAAGCCCTCGCCCAACAACAGCATAACGTTTGCAGAGCGCGAGTTGCAACATCGTTGCCTGGTACCTTTGTACTGAGAATCACTGAAGTTACAAGCCTGACCCAGCTCATGAATTCAGCGGCTGGTCAATCTTGGACTGCCGGCCTATGAAACCCTTGGTCGGGCACAAGTGCACAGCGGCAGCACACCACTGGGAAAAAGGTTCCCGCGCAGGGCAGCTCACGCTTCCACAACCTTCGGCTTTCCACTTTCCTAATCTTTCCTACCCCCCTTCCAAAAGCCCGCAGGGGTATCCCTGCAGCACGGCATCTGCAAAGCCTGCAGCGTCGGCGGAGGCTTTCGAAGACTGTTGCCACAAGAAGTCACTCCAAGTCTCTAAGTCTCGCTCCATCCTTGTGTAGCAGCTTCTGGCCAGCCTTAGCCACATTGATTTTCATCCTACTCGGATGATGAGGACGCGAATAGCGCTGAAGACGACAGTGATGGTGATGACTGTGGTGGCGATGGTGAGGATGACGAGGAGGACAGCGAATACAGCGATGAGCCCCGAGCACAAAACGGGTCCAACATACTGCAAAACCTTCAGGCCTGACATGGGCTCGCTGTCCTAAACTGTTTCTCTTCTGAGCTGGCAACTTGAGGACGCCGATGCAAAGCTCGGGCAAACGTTGGAATCCCTGGGGCAAACAGCCCGTGACAAATCAGAGCTGGTCCGAAGAGAAAGACGGATCAAACAAAGAAAAAACGACTCGCAATGTGCTGTTGGAATCGTATGGTAACTTTTCACACACTCACTCCCGCAGGCATATGTGCATGCTTGGACGCGAGACGCACAGCACAAGCGAGAGTCGGATGTCGGTCCGAAAACGGCAACGGGCATGTTCCAAGCACCCCGCTGTCGCTGCTAGCCTGAGCCCAATTCGCAGATGGCGCAACATGATTACATTACATGACTGCATCTGCCGCCATCTGAAGCATCTGAAGCTGAAGGCGGAAGCAAGCCGCGGCTGGGGCACAAACGTCAGACTTGACATGGTCCAGCCTTGCACCCGCAGATGCCGGACGGCCTGAAGTTCTACTGTAGGCTTGGCCAAGTCTCCTCGGAGCGCAGCTCCACACGACTAGGAGGCGCACACCCTGCAACACTTTTGGGCGTGCCCATCCGGTCAAAGTCAGGATACCGAACCGGATACCGAACCTCAACTCACTTGCAAGTGCTTTGCTGCGTTGTGTTTACCGTGTCATGCTGTCTCGGTCCCTTTCTCAACCAAGGATGCTGCGCGATGCGAAGCTTTCAGGTTGAAAGCTGCTGCATCAAGCCCTGAGGAATTTCGCAATCTTACGAATCGTAAGGGAGATGGGCCAGAGTTCGGGGGCAAGTGAAGCGCCCTCCATGTAGCTCCATAACCACAACATCCCGCTATGCTATGCTGCTGCCAGTGCGCAGTATGCGCTGCACGCGGAACTGTTTGAAAAGTCCACAAAAGCCGTAAGGTCGCAACGCTGGAATGGGTCTTTTGCAGCCTGGCCCGAGAATGGAATAAGAGACAGCAGACGGAAGCTAAGAGAACTAAGCGAGCCGAAGAGAATGCAAGAGACCGCCCGCTGCAACCCAAGCCTGGGTTTTGGGGGGATGTCCTTGAGGATGTTGTCTACCTTGGATTTAGGCCATTGCATGGAGAAAAGTGTGTGATGATGCACACGTGTGTGATGATGAGCACGTGATGATGTGTCATGATGCGTGTGTGAAAAAATATGTGTATAACTGTGTGTGTGTGTGTGTGTGGTTGTGTGTGTGTGTGGTTGTGTGTGTGTGTGCGTGCGGAAGTTTCGTTCCAAGGAATCTAGATGGTGATTTGCAGTGCTCATAGAGTCTACCATCAGCGAATACATTGCCTGTTCAACAAGCCGGGGGCCCAAGAGCTACTGGATGGCTTGGGCCAACGAAGACCCATCCGGTATGCTGTGAAAACGTACCTGCTGTTTCACTCGGTACAAGCTGGATAAACGAAGACTCTTCCTGGACGGAGCAGAGCTGAGCTATTGTATGAGATGCAGATACAAAAGAGAAACAACCCGCTTGACGGCCTCAACCGAGTCTGTGTGTGTGTGTGTGCGTGTATGTGTGTGTGTGTGTGCTTGTGGTTGTGTGTGTGTGTGTGTGTATGTGGTTGTGTGTGCGTGTGC